AGGTTTATATATTTGTGACCCGGAGAGGTTTCTCCAAGATTTTGAGATTTTGTTTGGGTTCTCTTATAGACGGGGAGGCCTCTCTTTGGGTTTTTTAAGAGGAGCCTTTGCAAAAGAAAGTGTTGGCCTTGTTTATTCCTCTTTTTGAACATTACACCTTAAAAGTTGAACCCCTCGATTTGGAGAAAATGAAAGGGGATTTCGGTTCACCAAGGTTTTGTTTTTAATGTAGGGATGGATACCCTTTCCCCCGGGTTACCCTGAGTTGGGGGTTGGATATAAAGGGTTGTTCCCCTTCCATGTAAAAGAAGATAGGGCATGGGTGATATTTTTCACTAATTTAATTTCATGACAAAGTTACTGACTCATAGTCTAGTCATTTTAGATGAAATATTATGAGTGTAAAATGTTGGATATAACTATCAAAACAGGTATTAGCTGAATATATTTCGGCATAGAAAATATTGTCTTGCTTAACGTTTTTTTCTTCCCATAGATCTCTTTGGAATTTGAACCATTCTGGTAATTTTGGTTCGATAGGGATCTTGATGACTACTAAACTATCCTTGTGTATATTTGGTTTAATGTTTTCGTAAAATTCGTACTCACCTCGTTCTTTCTTGTTAAAAACTAGACGATATTGGTTTCCAAATATACCATGGTTTCTATCCTGATTTTTGGTATCAATTTCATCTTGTGATATTATAGTATTATTTTGGGCTTCTGCCTCTCCGATTAACTTTAAAATTCTTTCTGGTACCTTTGGTGCTTCTAATAAGTCATCTTCATTTACCATTTCCATTGATTCACTTTTACACCTGACAAGGGCTTCTGGTAAAATAGATGGGTTCTTGGCTAACTGAAGTTCTCTTATTCTTTGTGTTATCATATCATCGTCGATTTCTTGTTCAATTGATAATTCAATGAGTTCAAGGAAAGTTTCAGCAAAGTAATTGACATTTTTTCCAGCAAATAATCTATATTCATTGATAACAGATGCAATATTCCATTTCTGTAATTTTCGAAGTATCCCCACAACAATTGCTGTTCTATCTACAAGCAAAACGTTATAATTGTTTGTATTTAAAATCATATTGAATGCTTTTTTTAAACAATTGCTTTTAACCAACATCAGTTCATCGCTGTCTTTCAGATAGTACGTTTCCCTCTTTCTAGAAGTTTCTACAGAATCTTTTTTACCTTCAAGATCAGTTCTCCCAGAAGCATTATTAGAGCTTGAACTTTTGGATTTTGGTGTAATTGTTTCCACATTGCCAGAGAAGTCACTATTTCTAATTATATGCCATTTGATATTAGAAGATTTGAAAAATTCCTTGAAAAATTTTGATGGGTCTTGACCTCCAATAAAAATAACAGTCTTCAAATTCAAAGTCTCCAAAAATGAAAGATTCAATGTATCGACTTTAGAACATCTATAGACACCTTCCTCAGCGATGCCAAAATTAGCAGGGGGAACTAACATCTTAAAAATACTCAATTAACTCCAACTTTACAATCAAAAACTTGTACAGCACCACCATATACAACCTAGATAGGTTATTGGTAACTTTAATAAGCTGGTGTAACTAATCTCTTAACTTGACCTAGTTGGTTTGATATTTAATAGCTGATCTTTTAATCTTAATGAATATTTAAAGCTTGATTTAATCAAGAAAATAAAGTCACGTGAGAAACTAATGGTTCTTAATCAATCATCAAGATGACACTTTATTTGACGAGTATATGAATGCAAAGAGATATGTTCTAGTGGTTTAAATGTTAAAATCTATATAAAATCTATATAAATATATATATATATACAATTCATTAATTAGGTTTCATGAGAAAATTCCAGAATCGACCAAAATACGAATTGAATAGGATTCGTAAAATTCTCGAAATAATATAAATTACATTTTATGGAAGTGAAATATGGAAGAGATCCTACCATGGATTACAAAATATTACATGTAGAAGTGAGAAGGAGATTGTAATAGTTTGTAAAGGATCTTCTTTCTTTTGATTGGATTTTGATTTTAATTTTATCTAATTCTTTTTTTACTTCTTTTGTTTAATTTGTGTGATTTGGTTAATTATGGTATTGCTAAATGATAAAATGTTGACAAAGATTGCAAATTAATATTAGGGTTAATACTAATTTCTTATGCATATGATAATGCTTTTTCAATTTAAATTTTGATAATATAAATGGGAAAAAACAAAAAAAAAAGAATGAAATTAATTTACGATTAATTTCAATCTCTTTTTTTCATATAATGCTTTTTATGCTGGCGAGAAGTGTTGGAAGACACTGGAGAAGTAGAAGTTGATTTTCTCAGAGTCTTACGTTCCAAGTGAACCTCTATATCCTCAACTTTTATTTTTCTCTTTTCTAAAGCTTCAGTTTGACTCTTTTGTAATTCAAAATCAACTACTGCAAAATTGTCTGCATTTGTTATCTTCATAACAGTACCAAACTCCTTTTCTAAAGTACTCTTCAGCTTTTCTTCACTAACACCAGCAGTGCCACGAATATATATTGGATAGAAACCATCCTTGTTGACGGTGCTAAACATTTGCTTCTTCTTGTTACTTCTAGAATTGTTATTTTCTTTAGATCCGAATTCAGATGACTTTTTATCTATTGAAGCTTTTTGTTTAGTTTCATCAGATGAATCATCTTTATTAGAAGGTTGCTCTGTAGTCTTGTGTTCGACACTAGCTAATTTTGATGCCCAACTTATTTTTACAGGGACTGGTGAAGAGCCAGAAACTGAGGTAGTGGAATCGTCAGTTGTATTAGCGATTTCCAATTCGGTTGATGCTTCAGTGAAACTGGTTGAATCTTTAGGTTCAGTTTTTTCATCACTTTTGTCAATCTCATTCTGTATTATTTCAGAATCTTCCCTACTAACTTCTATAGCAGAATCTTTTTTTGATTCTTCTACATCGATGTCGTTGGATTTAGTAACAGTTTCTTCAATTGCCACTTGATTTTCTACCTTATTCGAAGTAACTGAATTGGAAGGCTGTATTTGATATTCATAAGAAGGTTCAGGAATAAATCTAATGATATCATTGACAATGTCTAAGGCATTAGCATTATTTTCTATACGCTCCAATACAAAGGTTTGACAAAATCTGTAAGTTGGGGTTCCAGTCCAAAACAATTCACCCGTAGTTAATATGATAACACCTGATCTAGACACCCCAGTGGATTGAATATCACAGGAGTCAATCTTAACCTTTAAATCACAAACTTTTTTATTATTTCTAGTGAAGAATTTACTAATGTTTTCTTTACCTGTTATTTTCACTGTAGGTACAGTAATTAAATCTTCTTTAAAATCCAATTGATAATTAATGTGGGTTAATTCCGCAGTGTTGGAGTATAAAGCAGAGACCTTTGAAGGGTCTTTGCTCATACGTTCATAATAAGTTTTCAAAAACAAGTGGCCAATTTCCACTACAGTTGCTGTCATATTATTAATCTCGAATTATATCACTTTGAGATGTGCTTTATATTTGTTCTTGGACAACCAATAGAGGGAAATGTGTAATATCTAGCGCTGGATTTCAAATTTCTTTCACTTGAATCCAATTTCTTTTTCCTACTAACAATCCACTTTTATGCAATAAATAACAAAAATATTTTATATTATTATGTGCGTTTCTGTTGATCCTTATTTTCAATGAAATGTCAAAATAAAATTGTTGTATTCAAATAATGAAACTTAAACTTTTATCCCTGGTTTCATATATGAGCATAAAATACACTGTGGACCTTCAGTTGCAATTAACAAACAAAACTGGATCCCAAGGTCTTCGAGTACTCTGATTTCTCTTATAATTTGTATAGATACAAATTTTCCTCGCAGTCACACACTCTCTCTTTTCTTCCTTTAAAGTAGAGTATCAAATAAGCGAATACGTTTGCACTCTTGGTTTGTATTTTTACAGTAATAAAATCAATCCAATAACGTATATCAGCTCTCAAACTATGAGTAGACCTCTTAATCTCCACACAATTAACTTCTTTCTTTTAACTTTATTTTATTAAAATTGTTACAATAACAATATAATAAAATGAGTAATGCTTTCTTTTTTTTTCACCAATTTTTAACAGAATGGGATCCTTCAAAAGGATTAAAACTTCCCTATACTCGCTACGAAACAAGTAACCACCTGTATCCTAACGATAGTTCGAGTTTCAGTAACTGTTTCAACCTATTTCTTATCCAATTAATCAACCATTTTTTAAATAAATCAATTGATTAGCCAATTTTTCTTCCTCTCTTATTGACAAGAAAGAGGAAAAAAAATCTTAAATTGGTGAAAAATTTTAAAGTCCGGGTAAGGTCATCCCTCTAATGTTAACGAAGGATCACATAGTTAAGATGTCAAGAACCAGGAAGAAGAAGATGACTTAAAGTAATAAAATGTAGTTTAATATGTACAATTAACGGTTACAGATGGGTGGGTAAACATGATCTATATATGTGGGATAAGTGATGCTTTTTGAATTGGTATTCTTTCGTTTTTTATTCGCTGTTTATGCCGTACATTAGGTTTTTGTAAGTTGTGAAATCTGCGCCATTTGGTAATTTATGCATTGATAGATTACGTAATTGTGAGAATACCAATAGAGTTAGTAAACTTTGGCCTCCAGTAGTTGTGAATAGTGGGAAGCGAGGGAACCCTAATTCGTCGGATAGTGACATTAGCGTTAGTTGTGGTTGTTGTTGTTGCTGTTGTTGCGATTGCATTTGTTGTTTAAAATCGGTGATGACTTTATAAATTAGATTGACGTCGTAAAAGTTTGGAATGAATTTGTTGACCCACCATTCGAAGTCTTTCATATTGTTTGGCATCACGTCGTTCATTAGGAGATGGATTAAAAATCCGAAATCGTATGCGGCATGGAATGTGATCCAAGTGATGCTTTTATCTAAAATCAACCCTGAATCCATCATTAATTGGGCAAATTCGAAAATTTCGATACCATTACTCTTGTGTGTTTCAAAATTTATTCCTGATTTCCTTAGTAATTCTAGCGATTCTCCAGAAACCATTTCATTGGTGATATCAAAACTAAAATTAAATTGCCATGTAGAGGGTCCGTTTTCTGGCTTCTTACCGTTAATATCGCTTATAGATATACCAATTTGTATTGGGTTCAACAAATCAACGTTGGATCTCATTGTTTGATAATGATAATCTGTCTTTGATCTGAAATTACCTATTGGTCTTGCTAAGGTACCAACAAATTCTGTGCTAATGGAAACTTGATTGTATTGTTGAATCATTCTTCGTAAAAGGGAAAACTCTGAATGCAAATTACCTTTCCAAACTTCACGTATAAACAATTGGTTTGGAGGAGGTAACATTGTATGCATCATAGCATTGGCTTGAACTGGTGTGTTGGCCGTTACACCCATTTGTTTGGGCATTTGTGAATTTAAAGGTCTTACTAAACCGGGAGCTCCTTGCTGATAAACATTCAAACCAGGAGGCATATTTTGGCCAACATTGGCGTTGACATTGAATTGTTGTTGTCCTTGTTGTTGCCCTTGTACGTTCTCCATCTTTTGTTTCAAAATATAATTCCCAGTCATATCTTGACCATTATTCATTAGATGTAATCCAGGAACTTCTCCAGAAACAGGATGTTGTTGAGCAAGCAACCTAGCTTGATTGACTTGTGGTGAAAAAATATGAGGATTATTATTACCCAGATTACCTTGTGGTTCATTCATTTGATGTTGATTGAAAAACTGACCCCCGCCTACCGGGAACACTTGGGGCTGCACATTCATTGATTGCATACTTCTCTTAGATATCTAGCTTGTTGGTGCCTCTCCTATTCGAATAGAATACACTTTAAATAATCAGTCATATACCTATTCTTCATTCTTTATATTGTGTTGGCTATTTATTCAACTTTTCATTATTATCGCCAATACTTTTTTTCAAATTGGGTCCTTAATGATAAATGTAAGCAAATTGTCGTTGATGATGACTGAAATTATAGTGGAATAAAAACCGTATAGCAACAAGCAATTAGTACTAGAAGACAGAAATGTAATGGGTAAAGATTGATATGTAAAGGTCTAAGTATTGGATGTTTCTTTACTAGATAAATAATTATTATTGAAATTTTATGTTTCCCCCTCTTTTGCCACCTTGAAAACCATGAATTCCAAGCTATATTTCGAAACATGACAGCAATACCAATGAATAATCAATAGAACGGGCATTAAAAATTCTGTTGAAGATTTTATTGGTAACAGGAATGGCATCATACTTTATTGTAATATTAGATAATAGGATTGGTATGTAGTTAAATATACATTCGGTTTAACTTTTAGTTGGAAATTCAAAAATTGTTATTGAAAACTTTTGTTTCAAAACCAAATTTGGCCAAACAAATCATTATTTATATTTTACTTTTATCTTAAAAACCATTATGATGGTGATTCGACAACTTTTAATTATCCCAAATAGTAGTTATGAGATAGTAGAAGACATCCTTTAAAAGAGTTCTGAGAACAATAATATATAAATGTTCAATAAGAAATTTGTGACAGGAAGACTTTTTCAGCAAAATGTCACATTACAAGAGAAATTGACCGATGAGATTTCCAAGACTGAGTCTCACGCAAGAACAAAGTATCCAACTACATACTCTATTATATATCAGCCAAGCTATTATGTAAAATCTATAATATCAATACAGTCTCTTCATCAATACTCGAAAATACACAATTGAAGCCAATATAGTTATAACTACATTGCCTACAGAAATAGCCACATTACCTACTGATGGATCAGTAAATGCTTGGTACTTTAATTAAACAAAGAAACCACATCTTTTAAAATATTGTAGAAATAGAACTTTCTACCAAAGAAGGGCTGATAAAATTATTTCAGTGAGTATACTTTAACACTTGGAGACATTCCCATATTTCAAGATTATTCTTATATCTTGGATATATAAATTAAAATTAAACTTTATAAGAATGGAGCTCTATCCAACTGTCATAAACACTTGATAACATACCAAATCGTAATTAAGGGCTTTCAATTCAGAGATCCACTCACGTAATATTAGATGATTATTGATGACAAGTATTATCTACAAATTATTTAGTTATATCATATCCAAAGTTAAACAGGAAATAGACTAACATTATCTCAATCGGTGAAGCCATAAAGGCCTTAACCAGGTGTACATCTATGTCAAGAGACCAGAATGAATTTCGCTTTGATCTAAATCCCTTATTTCATTACAAAACAGGATGAACATGATGATAAAATAAGAATCGTCTTCTAGAAGTTGCAACCAATAAAAATCACATCCGTTGGTTCAAGGGAAGTAAAGAAACAGTTATAGGAAACAGTTAATGAATATTTCTTATATATATATATATATATAGGTTTTCGAGAGAATAAGAAGCATATGTATCATGTTACCTCTGGGAAACCGAAGATGATACTTTAACCCAGATCAATCAAGAGGTGATGCAATATTAGAGAATTTTATAACTTTCCTATTAGCTGAAATGTTAAGTTATCTAGTCGTGCAATAAAATTTGATTACCGGTATGACCTTTGTTCCTCAAACGGGGATTATCAATTACATATTTAAAATGGAATGGGGACCAATAGCAATACTTATTGCTAACCAATTAATATGTATAGATAAGTCCCAATCAAAGAACTCAAATTGATACTTTGTAAGTTTATGTAGGTAAAATGAATCAATCAATTTTTCCTGACTCCATAAAGAAGCATAAGATGATACTTCATTATATCTAATGGCAGTCCTTGCAAATAAATCTTATTATAGTAAAATAACTAGTAGTATCTATATAGGTGTGTAAGAATTGCTCTGCAAAAATCTATGATAATCTTGCTTTATAATCAATTATTTTCTCCCCTAGTCAAGTTACCCAAAAAGAACAGTCTTACGTTTCCTTTAGATAAAACATCAATGTCCTAGTTTTACCACCTCGTCCCCCCTCCTTCAATAACAGTTAAGAGAAGATTAACATTCTGTCTATAAGTAAGGTCAAATAGTTCATGTACTTGCAGACTCAATCTCTCCACATAATTCATGGTTTTATTAGGCATTAATTAACATTACCTTAACCTTGATAATACTATCGATTACCCTTTAAATAAAATGATTTTCTCTCTCATTAAACCTGAAGGACGATGGAAGAAAGAAGGACAACGTTTAAATTACGATGAAGAAACAAATAACAACAAAATATAACTGAAAAGATATGACAAGAGGTACTAGACAGGCAATTATTGGATCAATCAAGATCAGTTAGAGATTCATTTAAGTAGTAATGAGAGCTAGACAGTCAAAGAAGGCAACGAAAGCATCTGAAAAATCTGTTACTACCACATCATCTAAAAAGAAATCTGTTGATCAGAAGAAATCTGATGATGGAAAGAACAAAGTTATAGCTAAGAAGTCTAAAGCCAAAGAAACTAGTGATGATGTTAAAATGCCATTATGGAGAAGTGTAGCTACTCATCTAATTATTAGTTTGTATTTACTTTATTTGATTACTAAAAAGGAAGAAGGTGTTGAATATGCATTTGGTCCAGAAGTTCAATATATTCTGGTTGCAATTTTTATGTTAGCTGTGAATATCTTCTTATATTTAAGATCATTTGGTCCTAATGCATTGAGAAATGCCAAATTTGCGTCTTTAGGGTTTATTGCTATTTCCGCAACGGCTGTTCTATCTTGTAAAGTAGTTGAAGCAGACTTCACTCCATTACAATTCGTATTTGCAAGTATTTTAAACCATTTGGGCTGTAGCAAAGAGTTTCTAGATTCACATTTCTTTGTAGGAGTACCAGATGATGCTATGAAATATATTTAATCGTTAGGGGTATGGTAGATCTATAACAACCTATTAAATATTCATCATAAGATTAAACCATTTGTAAATTATACTATCAGTATTTTGCTACCATTTCTTGATAATTTATTAGAAATATCTCATTAAGAACACCCTGGAGTCCTTCCACTTCTGTTACTATTTAATTTACAAATGTATATTACCATGTATATACCATATGTAGCAATAAATCGTTTTGATTATAACTCAAGAGTGCCAATATTTTATCAAAATCAAAAGCTTCTACTGTAAAGTTTAGATAATTGTTCAACGTTATCTATCAAATGCTTGAATAAAATCAGAGCAATTATCTAGATAAAACTGTCAAATTTAGTAACGTATAAAGTTTCCAAGAAGAATGCAATCTTGTAATTCAAATTCTAAGAGATAATCACATTGATAACATTCTAACTTACTGTCCAAAAAATAATAAGTATCCAAATATATGGCTAAAATATCCTTTAATGACAGTCAAATTTTAATAATCAAATTATAATAACTAATATTCCAGAAACTTAAGTGCTTTTCCACCGAGTCGTAATTTGGGGATACTAAGGAGAAGCAACGTACCTGAGTATGCTGTTTAGGCTAAGGTTCATCTTTATCAGAATTAAAGCAATTTTTATATATGACCAGACAAGCATATATATTTATACATGTATTTCTTGGCTCACAGATAAGTTGTCTTGCGAAATAATATGTCGACGTTTTAAGGTTTCAAGCACAATTTTGATAATACAGCTTATAGGAATCACCTTATTTATTGTCCTATAGTCATTGTTAAATGGTTTAAATTTATCTAAGTAGGTTGAAGAAATAGATTATATCTATAGCCCATTTGTGCCTCAATATTCATCAATCGATCAGTAAATAAAAAGCTTTCAAATGAATATGTCCAACAGTGACATGCAGAGATCACTTAGAGAATGTACTGGCTCGATAATTGAATTGCTTGGCCGATTAACTTTACGTATAAAAGGAAAGTCACTCAGAAATCTGAATTATTCTTAGTACAATAATGTTTATCAACCATGGATTGAAGAAATGCTATCATTGATACGTTTTGCGATCAATCTTAGGTTTCAGTAGAAAATATATCATAAAAGACCACAAACATCTATATAGTGATGAATAATATATCAAATTGAAAGAATTTCTCATTCTTTTGGCTATTTTAACATTCAAATGTACTTAATTCTTCTTAGAAAAGTAAGTATATTTTATCTTGCTTTTGTTCATAAATCAAGTCTTTAAGATAACCAGAACACTTTCAGCGGCTTCAAATAATATATTTTTAAATTCCCCAAAGCACAGTATCATATCCTTTTTTATGTATAATTTCATGAAGTTAATCTATAGGAATTATTTTGGAATATTTAAGCTCATAAACTTCATATAAGTTAACAATTATCATGAAATATGTTTTGTTTGGATCTTTAGGTGACCCAATATGAATACCACATGATAGAGGAAACTGAAATATATTTACATCATTTATACAAATAGCATTAACTAACAGAATACAGATATGACAGAAATTTCTGTTTAGAATTGTACTCCACTTACAATATTAGTATATAACATTATCAATTAAATTCTATTGACTATATTTGTTCTTATCTTTTTATTCACAACGATTTGTAAACTACCCTTATCTGCCTCTAACAGGACCCTTCTTCACTTGATCCAAAGCTTGGAAATATGTTATTTAAAACATTTGATAGCCTTTACTTTACATATTTCCCCGTAAATAATACCATAGTGTAATATTTAAGTAATCCAGGTTTCTAGAATTTAGGTCAGTTAAGTTGAAGAAACTTAATAAAGAACTATATCTATGTAATAGTTGGCCATCATTACTAAGTAGGAAATTTTCTCCTGTTCCTAGATTGTTTTATGATCTCCTTTAAATGGTAGTTCCCACCTTCATTAACAATTGTTCCCATAAAATGATTTATTTGTTTATTGAACTTTGACAGAGGTAGGATATCATGGTCACAGCTTTTACCGTTAAATATAATAGTAATTTAATTTTGAGGCACTAAAAGAACACTGACTGTAATTATATAAGATCTTACATTTTTTATGGGGATTCATCTAAAAGGAATACAGATAACAACCTCTCTTGTTCTTTATACAAATATCATGTTATTAGCAAGCTTTTACTTTCATATTACATATATTTGTAGCCTTAAAGATAATATAATGAAAAGATTCTCTTTTATCTAACACTGCACATATAATATCTTTAATGCAGATGAGAGAGCATTGCGATCATTAATATACCGGAATGACGTTGATTAACTACTTAAGTTAATATGATTTAAGTTCTCATTTTATATGAGGTTTGAATTTCTTATGAAACTCACTCTATTGACAATAATTCTTTTCTTGCCTAAAGTTTTATAGTGTCTACAATAGTCATTAATAACCATCAATTTGTCTAAGGTTACGTGGTCCACAATCTGAGACACATTTAGCTAGTTTAACCCAGAGCACACTTGAATGTATAGATATATTAGATACCATTCATCATGATATCAATGACAACTCTATTGATATCCTTGAAAGAATGACTGACTCGATATAATCAAGAGTCATAGTCATCTCAGACTTTTGTTTTGCCCTTATGTTCATACCAGATCAGACACCCAAACTGTCGCTACCAAAAAGTTGAAACGTACAAGCACAAATAATAACTGTGAATGTACCAATTGACAAGGATACGGATTACCGTGTAACCATCCCAACATGTTGTTATATTACAAGATATGGTAAAATATACATATATATGAATTTATTGTCCATATTTAAAGATCTAACGTAATATACAAGATAGTCTAGAAATATTCTAAATAGAAAAACGAGCACAAATTTTCAAAGAACCCAGAAAATAAAATTCCTAACTTCCAAATACCATTTTCTGACATAACATGACGACGAATGGTTTGTCGAAGGTTGAAATTGGTTAAGTTTCGTGTTTCATTTATAGGAAGGATAAAGAATTGAATTCTAATAACAATAGTAGAATATTATAACTGCTATATTAGAAATAGTCCTTAATCATATCTTCCACCATTTCGAAAAGTTTCAGGTCACTTCCATTGGTTAAACCCACTTTCAAATCATTTCTAGGATCTTGGACTTCACCAAATGGTACAACGTAAGCACCTTGATCTTTGGCTGTTAAATCAGGAGATAGAGCAGCATATAATTCCGAATAAGCACCATAAATAACATCCCAGCATAATGACATAATAACGAATCTTGAAATAGTACCAAAGTCTCTTGATATTTCAGACTTTAGATTACCTGGGTAACACGAAACAGACACACAACCAATTTCATCTGCAATTTTTTGATTTTTAGTATACCAAGCCTTAGCCTGTAAAATATTAGCAGCTTTCGATTGACCATATAATGTCTTATATTCTGGCCTCTTGTCTAGAGGTACATTAATAAAGCCAGGATTTTCCCAATTGATACCGTATTGGGAGAAAGCAACTAAATGAGCACCTGAACTAACCCAAACAATTCTTTTGAGATCAGAATCTTTTTTCAAAAACAATGGATCCAAGAAATGTTGCAACAGTTGAGGTCCCATAACATTAGTAGAAAACATTGGTTCAACGCCTTGCTTAGAAAAACCATCATTAGAACTGGACAGCAACCCTGCATTATGAATAATAATATTTAAGGGTTTGTCACCTAAAGCTTGTTTAACCTTATCTGCAGCAGGTTTAATACTTGTCATATCTAATAAGTCACAACCACCTACTACTGATATAGAACCATTGGATTCCTTGATTTCTTCAAGAACTTTTTCACGAGCTTCGATCCCTTTAGATTCAGTTCTTACAACGGCAATTACATTACAATTCTTGGAATACAAAAGTTTCATGACAAAATAACCAATACCAGTGTTACATCCTGTAACGATTGCAGTCTTACCAGTTAAATCTGGATAGTCTTCAGGTAGAAATGTTGGTTTGTTTGGTCTAAAACTATAATACACGTCATATAAGGTTTTAATCTTGCTAATAGGTGGGGCTGGTTCTGTCATTATTAATAAATTTGGATTCGTATCGTATATCTAATTAGAGGTAACTCAATTTAACAAAAAGGTATCCTATTCTTGTGAATATAAAGTTCTGATGTATCATCCTTTCAGCAATTGGAATTGAACTTTTCAAAATATCACATTTCCAGAAGTCTTCCCTTATATAGGTGGCATAATTTTTCAAAAATTCGTATGTCCCTTCAAAATTTCAGCTGGAATAAAAAGGAAAGTGTCAAGATGAGGCTACAAATTCGATAACATTGCTGAGTAATTAATTGTAAACTTGACCATGTTATATTAGTAAGCTATCGACATCTATAGAATATATACCTATGTTTTTCGTCACTGTTCTTTTGGTTTTAATTTATCAGATAAAATAATATGGGAGTAAAATCACCTACTTTTAGTCTTTATAAGCAGATACAGGGAGCACTGAGTTCTTCTAGAAGGAAAAACCAAAACTTATTTCTTGACGAATGTTTCTATAACAGAGCTAAGATATGTAGCTATTATTCTTAGCTAATTTGAATAAAATCGTGATTTTTCTCATGTGTGCATGGTAGTACTTTCGAAATGGAAACAAGGCTTAACTAACTTTAAAAATTTCACATGCATCAGCTTTTCGAAAGACAAAAGCCAGTTGAATCCTATGGTAATACGTATCTTCAACTGAAAAGAGTTGAAATTAAAAGATAAACATTAAGGTATGTACAGTACTGATATTTCATTCATTTCAAGTAACTGTAAAAATGGTTTTATCTACTTTCTTGAGTTTTGCTACTATAAATGAAATGAACCTTAAATCAAGCCGCAATATACCATTGCGTTAAATAACATTTTGGAATGAAGTTTAGCTAGTATCTTGAATTTTGTATATGGTTGCAATGAATGGATGTAAAATTTTGAGATTTTAAATAGATAT